GAAGACATGTTGAATTCATCCAGTTCCCCGTGGACTGTTAATGTTACTATTACAACTGATTACCCAATGTGGATTATATGGGATGGCACAGGGCTATTTATTCTGCAGATCTTGCAGGAAGGGAAATGTTTTGAGATGCCTACTAAAGTCCTGGTGACAGTTGTTTTTTTGCTTAGCATCCTTTTCTTTGTTGGACAGTGTAATAGGCTTTGTCTACAACTATGGGGAGGATTGTTCAGAGGGAGTGTGAGGAGAATGGGTGGTGAAACATTACTGGATGAAGAATAAGGATGCCTGCCCCTGGACCGGAACAGCCAGACCCCATCTGCTCCCTGTGCGTCAGCACCATTCAAGGACTGGAGGTAGAAAGAACAAGGCCACACCAGCAAGCAAGCCCAGTCTGGGACCATGTGCGAGCCCCCGCCGGACTGAAACAGCCAGACTCCAGCCCCTTCCAGCGTGAGGGCTGGCAAACAAGAAGTACCAACCTCCCCTTCCCACCATAAGGGCCTGGTGTATCTGGAGAAACACAGGCTGTGATGAGCTACGGAGGTGAAATGCAGTTTGATGCCTGTGGTGCTGTGTTATTTCACTGACATTGCAGGTCTAGGGCCAGTGGTCTGATCATAGGTTCAGAGGACAGTGGTACACAGTGTGACATGTAGAGGGGATCTCTTTCTAAGGGTTGAAGCCATTATTGATCCCCTATGGTCTTGTTTTGGAAGTCCTATATCATTTCCATTGTTTTGTTGGGTCAGGTTTTATTCTCTTTTGTTTTGATTATGTCAAATCCAATAGCAGGAGCAACTATTTCAAAGATAGCAAGATATATTATGGTAGCAACTTTGGATTTACTGTTGTCTTGTTTTGAAGTCCTTTATTGCATTCATTGTTCTGTTTTTATTGTTTCCATTCTGTTCTGTTTGATTTGTATTGTGTCCAAAGTTATCTGCAACTATTTTGAAGACATCAAAAGGCATTATGGTAACTATTGTTGATTTTGTAATGTTTTGAAGTCCTGTGTCTCTTATGCTGCTTTGTTTTGATTGGTTTTATTCTGTTTTATCCTCTTTAAAATAAAAAATATCTGAAGAATGAGGTTCTAGTCTCTGTTATCACAGTAGACTCTGTATTCTTCAGCAAGTCCCTAAATTTATATAATTTTTAGGATTATGCATTGAGTGTGCACCTATGATATGTGCTTTTCTGATTATAAAAAATTAAGCTTAATGAAAAGAAATACCATTCAGGCACTGGTATCAAGAAGTCTAATTATTGTGGTTGTCCCAGAACCCAATTTTTTTCTAGTAAGGGAATTTAAAGAGTTGGGGGGCAAGAGAGGAGTAACATGCTCAAGGTATGACTCAAGCCTGTGGCTCCACTTCCAAGCTAGTGGCCCTCACCTGGTCCAGACTTGCCAGAACACCTGGGCTGCTGTGTGCCCGCCTCTTTCAATTGTTTCCCTTCACTTGCTTAGGCTCACAGGAATTCTGTAGCAACTTTCTCCATCCCAGGTCTAGTGCCACAAATGGGCATCTTTAGGCAGTCCAGGGCCTCTGGATCCTTAATGTAGCAGCTACAAGTGTCTAGCTCAGATTCCCACTGTGGTTTTCTGAAGTTATCTTAAAGACTCCACTAGCAAGGGCTCCGGTATGAAACCCGATGGCCCCGCAGAGCCTCCAGAGGTGTGTCACCCTGAGGTCAGTATTTAAATGAGTACAGGTCTTCCAGACCTGGGTGGTCAGTGTGGCCCATGGCCTTCATTTCCCCATTTGTCTTCTCTTCAGGCTCTGTATTCCAATCCTTTCAAGTCCTCTGCAATTATTACCATATCAGAATCTCACTGTCCTACTTTCCAGGGGAACAGTAACACCCTCCCAGTATACCATGGGAGCATCTAAAATTCAGCCTGATCCTAAGTACCAAAAAGAGAGATACGCAAAAGAAAAAAAGGAAGAAAAGAAAAGAAAACAAGAAACAAACAAAACAAAAAACCATACTTGCTTACTGAGATTTATTTCTGGCCCACCCTAATCGCTACACCAGGACCTGTCGTGGCTCTGGGAACCACCAGGGGGCGTCGGAAATTAGGTCCTGACGTGTTCCACCTTCCAAATTCAAACCAGGATCTGGTGGACCAGATCAGCTGTTCGGTAGAGAAAGCCACCACCCTGGCGTTGACCTTAGCCTGGGAAATTTGTGTCTCCCCGAACTCTTACTCCTTATGTGGACTATCAAAAGCCTGCTGTGCCCAAAGCCTTGTTGGTGGGTGGGGAGGTGTGTGGTGATGAGGGAGAAGGGGTGACAAGTGATAGCTCTCTCAAGAGCAAGGCTGCACTGCAAACTGGAAAGTTAGCCCCAGCCGGTGAAAATGGACCAAGTGCAATAGGAGCCTAGTCGTCTGAAGCTCCCTCCCCGTTTGTATAGTTTCTAGGAAGTACTGGTTTTACAGGTAACTGTGCTGGATTAGAATCTCCATGTGTTCTACAAAAAAAGCAAGCAATTGTATTATTCGCATTTTTTTTAACTTTTCATACCATGGAGAAAGTCTTGAAAAGCGTATAGAATTACAAAATGCACTTATAAACCAGGTATGGTGGCACAGTACTGTAATCCCAGCACTGGGGAGACAGAAGCAGGAAGATCACCTTGAGTTCAAGGCCAATCTGGGCTACATAATGAATTCAAGGCCAACCTGAACTGCATAGTGAGACTTTGTCTCAACAAAGACAAAAGCAAAGCAAAAGAAAAACACCAAAACCAAAAAAACCCCAAACCAAACCAAACCAAAAACCCACTACGAATAAGAATGCCCTAGGGATGTCCCTATTGAAAATAACTCTGCGTCCAGTGAATGATGAGGTGTATGGGCTGCTTTCAAGTGAAATTCTCCTGTCTGTGTTTGAATTGTATTTGGAATTTAGGCCATCACACAGGGTCCCATGGCAAACCACCTCACAAGGAAATGGATTCTCCCAGGTCTCTGCAGGTGGGACTTGGTGGCACCTCACTTGAAATAGTGAAGCAGTACAGGTTGTCCCAAATGTCTAATAGTGCACTTTTAAGCCAGGTGGAATTCAAGACTGCCCTCCAACATTCGAAAACCAAAAGTAGAAACAGCAGATACATTGGACAAAGAGGGAGTGATGCTCAGTTCCTTTTGTTTGTTCTGTTTTCTTTGTGGGGAGGCCTGAGTTCCAGTCCTTGTTTTGTGGCTTCCTAGCTATAGATTTTTGTAAAACTACTCAACCCTCTCAGGCTGCAATTTTCTCAAGACTGAAATGAGGCTATGGTAACAGATTATTAGGTGAACGATAAGATCTCCTCCAGGGCCAAGAAAACAACCAGATGAGGTTACAAATGTATTTCGCATTTGAAGCAGCTACAGAAGGGGCATACAATCAAGGTTAAGCTATGCAAAGAAAGCTACTGGGCTCCCCTGTTAACCTGAGGAACTTCTAAACTTTGCTGCTAAGCCTAAAGGTGCTCAACCTTGAGAGTACAGAAATGAGAAACACTACTTGCTCACCATTAGGGAGGAAAAAAAGAAATCCAAGCTCAGATCCTTGAGGCTCAGGGCCCTCCAGTTGTTGCACTGATTACACACACCAACGTGCTCACCCAGTCCTCAAGACACTTTGTTATTACTATCAAGAAATAGAGTTCGAAGAGTTTCATCAGTGCTATCATCTATTGAGCCCCTATCATTTGCCAGATGTTGCTGAGGTCCTTTATGTTGTTTCAAATGAAGCTTTACCCTATGGGTAAGATCTTATTATCTTCATTTTGTAGATGAGGGCACTGAGCCCATCTGATGGTTCCCTAAAAGCCTGCTGAAGTTGTACAGTGTTAATTAACAGTGGTGAAACCAGGATTGAAACCTAATTCTCCTTAGATCCGTATAGACAGGTAACAGCAATCATCAAGAAAAGCCTCAAGGGGATGTAGCTCTGTGGCACAGTGCCTCAGTTGAATTCCCAGGACAAAAAAGAAAAAAAAAATGGCTCAATGAGTTCACTTTTTGTGGAAGACGCATGCCCAGCTGTGTATGTGTGTATCTGTATATATCTATATTTGACATCTGCTTCATCCTAAATAAGATTTGTGGTGCTTAAATCAGATGGTGCTTCCCAGCACTCAGGAGGCTGAGGCAGGAGGATTGTCATGCTTTCAAGACTAGTGTGGGCTACAAAAGTGAGCTCAAGGCCAGCCTGAACTGCAGTGATGTCTCATGGAGAAATACTGGGTTTTCTTTTTGCTCAGTGCTAATAGCTCCTCCAGGCAGTTTTTCCAAGGATCTAAGGGGATCCCAGTGAAGGAATTGATTTAGTGACACTTCCTAAATCATCTTCTTCCCAGCAGGAACCTAGCTAGGCACCACGGTCTATAGATGGTTATCCTGCCAGCTAGCACTGACCTGGATGTGATACTACTGCGTGACAAACTACCAACTCATCTCCCCAGATAAGCAATTGATTGTCTCTAGTTAAAAGACTATCATGGGAGTTAAGACCCTGGCTTTTGCATTTTGGGCTGTGTGGCTTATGGCAGGAAGGTATTTACTTAGCTCTGTGTCCTCTGCCCTAACATAAAGGTGATAATAGGGCCTAAATGAATTAATATACGCAAAGTTCAGTGCTTGGCACCAAGAAACAGCTTAACAAACGTCAGCCATCTTGATCGTCCTCCTTATGTACTTATGTATAGAATTTTTGTTCTTTAGATGCATTTACATAAAAATGTTACCCATAGATATTGACTTCATTTTTTCAATAGAAATGGAATTTTATACAGATTGAATAACTGGAGTCTAGCTTTTGTGAGCTCTCAGCGCGATGCTCTTTTTACCATATCAAATCTGTAAATTATGGCATATACATATTCACATGCCCCAGCCTTTGCTGATATTCAAACATTGCCTGTTTTATGTTAATTAGGAAATGATAAAAAAAAAAAAAAAAAGGGAATGACGAGGTATATCTCTGCTCAGAATATCTTACCTTGGGGAGCCTGTACTTTTCCCTGAGGTGGACTCTGAGGCATGCCCTCTCTGCCTTTTTTTGTGTAAACGCAGCATCTCTTTCCATCCTAAAAGTTAAAGAATAAAGTAAGGGATCGTGAGGACATGGAGACTGAGGAGAGAAGCGGGATCCTGGGACAAACCTCAGCTGCATAGCCAGCAGACACCTGGGAAATGTGGAATTTTCTCATGATGTCTTGAATATCCGTTCTTCCATTACTCTACTCTCATCTCTTAATGGGACTGGCCATCACTTTGTGATGTAATTGGAGAGCCAAGGTTATGACTCCTGACAAAGCTACTCATGGACTGCGAGGTATCAAACCAGTAACCTCAGCGTTGCTTGGGATGAAGGCAGCTTCCTGGGCCTGATATCAGTTCTGCTGGGCTAGAACCCCTGGAACAGAGGAGAGGAAGCTACATTTTGAAAAAGCTCCTTGATCCTTAGTGAAGCAAAAGCAGCGTTATCTATTGTGTTCAGCAGTGGGGCACATCTTGGAGATCCATGGCATTTAGGGATTTAATATAAAGTTGTTTCCCTTTGATGTGATGAAAGTTTATTATATGCATTTATGAAAATACCACAGCAAAACCTGTTACTCTGTTATAATCACTACATACTAATTAAAAGGGGGTGATAATATTGGGTTTTTAAATTTTGTTTGTTTGTTTGTTTCGTCTTTTTATCGGTACCAGGGACCGAACTTATGACTGCCTGCTTCCAAGGCAGGCGCTTATGCCACTGAGCTAAATCCCCAACCCTGATAATATTGTTTTTAAAAACCCTTCCTTGTCACCAACTCCAATTTCCAGTTTAGGCAGGATTCCTTGCCCAGTTACAAGAAAGTATCCCAAAACAAGGTAGAGAACATTCCCTCCCATAATGCTTTACTGGGATACTATTCTATGAATACCTAACTGGGCTTTTGACAGTTCTAGTTAAAAACAGACTCCCTTGTTCACGATGATCTGGACAAATGCACACATCTTCTGGGATGTGCGCAAAATTTAAAAAATACTGCCTGCGTTCCCAGCTGCCCGCAGAAGTACACTGCTGATAGCTACATTCATACACATGGCTTTGCCCTCCAGCTGTATTGGATTGGGCCAAGTTGGGTCAGTTAAATCTGCTTTGGAATGTGGGACTGAGACAGAAAGACAGGCTTGAAGGGTGGCCAGAACTGTAACAGGTGAACTTGAAAGCCTTGGCTGTGTTCCACTGTCCAGGTGATCTGGGGTAAAAGAGTGCAGAAAAGAGAAAGAAACACAGTTGCTGGGCAGACTGGAAGTATTGGCTAGAGACAGGAAGAGCTCCTGGCTTCAAACAGTCTTTGGCCCCTGGTGCAGGTCTCAGTGAGGCCTGGAGAGATTTCTGCTCATGCGTTGGCTGAAGCTTATTTGGATAACGTATTATTAACATTAAAATAAATCCCATTTTCTTTATGAAAATTGGCTATTTTATGATTCCAAGTTTTAAAATAATCTTAACAATTACACAGAACGTTGACTGCAAACAAGTAAACAATCAGATTGGACCACTGGATCCTGGGCTTAGATGCTCTCAAAATTCAATTCCATCTTTCAGTCTGGGATCTGCCTTCTAGTTTGGAGAGGAAACCAGGATAAAATGACTTGTTCAAGAGATTAATGATCTGTGGCATAAGCAAGAGGCAGAGCCTTTCCCACCACCATTATGTTACTGGAAAAACTTTCAAACATATAAAAAAGTTGAGAAAATTTTACAAAGCCCCATCATCGAGAGTCTAGAACTTGCATCTCCTATGCATTTTTACCCCTTCTCTACCCTCTGAACTACCGTATCTTAAATTTATGGGTATACATTTGCAGTACATACTAATGACATTCATCTCGGGGAGCTGGTAATACACATATTTACTGAATCATTTTTACCTCTCCTTCCCTCTGCTCTGGCCTCTCCTCCTATCCCCAGGGTCCCTTTCCATCTCCACAGAGTCTACAATCCTGGTTCCTATCATTTTTCTTTAATTAAAAATATGAAACACGTCACAGATTTGTGCGTCATCCTTAGCCAGGGGCCATGCTAATCTTCTCTGTATTGTTCCAATTTTATGGAACAATATGTGCTGCCAAAGTGAACACTATCCACCTTAATTTTTGATGTATTACAAAGTTGTAGAAATCAGTACACTTCTCCTACACATGTCAATCTACATATCATTATGTATTTATGGTTCCTCTTTCCCTTTGAGGTAAAATTGGCATACAACACTCTAAAATGTCTACACTTGTGTAACTCAAACCCATATAAAGATATGAAAGAAACATTATTCCCACCTCGTAAATTTCCCTCATCAAACCCTGAGTCAGTTGTAAGGCGGTTACTATTCTTTCTCTACTAGAGATTGGTTTTCTTGAACCAGGGATCGAACTCATGACCTTGCACTTGCCAAGCAGGCACTTATGCTGCTGAGCTAAATCCCCAGCCCCTAGAAACTGGTTTTTGACTCTTCTAGAACTTCATGTAAATGGAATCATACACATTACATTCTCTTCTGTAAGGTTTCTATAACTTAGCATAAAAAACTTTCAGATTCATACATCTTTTATTTATCACTAGTGTGTTTCTTTTTTCCTGAGGAGTATTTTATATATCACCACTTGTTCATTCTCCTATTGATAAATACTTTAATTACTGGCTATTTTGGGTGATGCCAAATGAAGTTGCCACAGACATTCTTAACAAATCTTTTTATGGACACACATTTTCACTGCTTTTAGGTAAATATCTTGGCATGAGATTTGTTGGGTTGTCGGGTATTTTAATTGAGCATGTTTAGTCTCATAAGAAATAGTTGAACCTTTTCCCAAAATGATTGTACTGTCTTACATCTCTTTAGGTGGACAAGAGTTCTAGTGGTTTCACATTTTAGCCAGCCTTTCATACTCTGTGTCTATTTAATTTTAGCCTCTCTGATGTGTATGTGTGTAGTGTACCTTACTGTGTTTTTAAGTTTTTTTGCATTTCCATGAGGACTAATGACATTTTTTAAAATTGTAAAAAAAAGTACAATGATGCAGAATTTCAAAACAACATAATAGGGGTGAAACAGTGGTTAATATATTGTATATTGTATATTGTTATCTTCAAACTAGGGCTAATGATATTAACGAGCTTTTATGTATGAATTAATTGGCTATGTGTATATACTTGTGAAGTTTGTTCAGTTATTTAACTCATTTTATTTAGCTCATTTTTTGCTTTTATTACTGAATTGTAGTTTTTTATATGTCCTAGATCCCAGTCTTTTTTAGATATATGTTTTGCAAATATTTTCCCACAGTCTGTGTGTCTTGCCTACCTATTTACTTAATATCTTTGATGATCAAATTTTTAAAGTTGATAGTCTAATCTATCAAACTAAACTTCTGATTATTACTTCTTGAGTCACAATAAACTTTCACTTACTAGTTGCAAAGATATTCTTTGGTTTATTCTAGAAGCTGTAAAGCCTCAGCTTTTATATCAAGGTGGTAGATGCATACCAAATCAATTATTGAGTGTAGTGTACAATAGAGGTGAAACTTAAATGTTTTTCAGATATTTCAGTTCCATTTGTTGAAGTAATTTTTCATTCCCTACTTGTGTTTTGGTACCTTTGTTGAAAGTCAAAAACTGTAAATTCATTTCAATCCTAATACCACATAGATTCCATCATCCAGAGCTAGTTTAGAAATTATTCAGAAAAGCTGGTTGTGCTGGTGAATATGGGGCCAGTTTCTCCTCAAGTAAAGCATATGTTTCTGCAGGAGAAAACTGACAGTGTCTACTTAAGTACATTCCACACAAATCCAGGCCTATAGTGAGTGGGTTCAAAATATGACTGAATAAAACAAATTCGAAGTCAAGTTAAAAATGATACTGTAGTAATAGTTGAACCATCACTAAAGGAACACTTCTATATAACCACGTCAGATAGAAGGATCAACTGACTATTGTTTTATTCTCTGTCCAAAAATTTCTTTCCTTAACCATCTATTTTAGGTATAGGCCTCTTTCACCACCAATGATGTCAGTAGTGAGAAAAAATCTAATTATAAAAGGAAAATAAACATGAAATGTACAGTAGAGGACATTATTAGGTAGTTTTTTCATTTACAATTCATAGAACCAATCCTATTACTTTTTTAAAAATCACAAGGGTGGATTTAGACGCTTTTATCTGCTAACATTTGTTTTAGTTATTATATATGCTGCACTGTCTGTGTGATCTCCCTCCCTTTGTGATTAGCAGGCATTCTGGACTCCTCCTTTTTCATATCACATTCTAGGTAATGAAGACCCTGGAAACTTAACTAGTGGGTGAGATGTCCTCCCTCTTGCCATGGAGATGGAGGGTGCCACATTGCCTTATCACTGTTTATTAAATTAAGAGATTAAATAAATTTATAACATTTTCATGCACACATAGAAAAGGCCAAGCAGTTCACAAACAACCCAGTCTATTGATCAACCATTTGATCTGATCATGTTGACCTTTGATCTGTCCATATATAAGGAAAGCTAAGACATTATATAAATGTCAATAAATGTGATTTATTGTGTGGGCATATTAAATGATATTTTGCTTGACCATGTATGTAATCTAAATTTCTGACCATTCTCAGTAGCTTGCTTGAACTGAGAGTTTATGATGTTACTGTTCTACTTTCTATTATTCTTGTTTTTCTTTTACAGCTTTTTCTTTTACATGCTATAGCCAAAGCAGAACAATAATAAAAGGATGTTGCTTCTTTTACCCAAATTTTATCTTACCAGCTACATCATCTTTCCACTTACATTCTCTCTCTCTCTCTGTCTCTCTGTCTCTCACTCTTTCTTTTCAAAAATGAATTTACTGCAGAACCAAGCAAAATACATTCTAGGTAGTTTAGAAGCCATGATTTCTTTCATAAAATTACAATAGACAAAAAATCTACTGAATGTAGGTTTTGTACATTCTTAGCTTTGTCCAGGTCGTTAACCTTTTCACCTATAATCATCTTAGTGATAAAATTTAAGCAACTATTATATAATTGATCCTTAGCAAAGTAGCCATGGTAGCACAAAGAAATACTTTTCTTTTGTAACATATGATAAACATTTAAAGGGTACATTGACACTTCAGTTCTTAGTTGATTATTAAATAAACAATTCTATTTAAAACTTTTAAATTATACTTATTATCAGTCTTTGAATAGCAACAAATTATTATTGATGATATTCACATTCCATCATACTCAACCAAAATATTGTAATAGTTATATTTTACATGTATTGTATTTTATATAGCCAAGAGAATGGTCTTGTTTTTAGAAGTACAGTGCTAAAATATTTAGGGGTAAGTATCATGATAACTGTAATTGACTTTTAAAATGCAATTATGGCATGGTGTTTACTGTTGACATCATGTCATCAGTGTTTTGGGTTATGCATCATACTATTATTTTTATGTGTGCTAAAATTTTATAATAAGCAATCCACAAATTTTTCATAGTCTAATAACTGTGTCTATGACAAAATTGTCATGTTGCATTTTTTGCTTTTTTATGCAAGATCCAGAAGGTTACACTTTTAGGCTCTCTTTTAGGTAGAAAGTCTGAATTCTCACAATCTAAAAACTTCCTGCTTTAAGAATGATTACCAAGATAGAGTTACCATGTTTTACTTGAACAATTAAATGGAGGCCAATTAAAACATACATTGGCCAGGAAATGCTAAACTACTTTAAGAACAATATATAGATTAATCTGTATTTTTCACTTCCATTCATACAAGTAGCACATAGGCATCACGGATACTACAGAATTGTGCACTTTACCCAAATAAAATTTCCTCAGGTTAGAGATAGACAGTCAGAGGGAGAGTATCCTGAAAAGCACAGAGAAATAAGCTGGGGAGCTGAAGAAAGTGTGTCCAGAATGGATTTCCCTTGCTTTCAAAGAGAAACAGAGCTGTGGTACTCACTTCTCCTCAATCACTTGCTTCTGGTACTCCTCATACTCCTCTCTAGTCATCCCTTGAGCTGCTGCTGGGTCAGATGTGCCTCCTTCTTCTTTTTTTTCTTCTGCCCCACCTCCAAATCCTAAATTTTTTACCTGGTTACTTATCATACTTTTTACAAAGAAAGCCATTGTCTCTGCCCTAGAAAACTACAACTAAAACTCAGATAAAACCCGAAAACAAAATACACCTCAAATCAAACCAACTCAAGGAAAAGAAACCCCTCCAAATATCTTCAGTGACAGCAGCACATGTATCAGCAAGGGATTTTGCACAGCCTCCTCTATTCAAGGACATGATGACAGGAAGAGTGGTTCATCAGCCATAAGCTGGATTAGACCGGTGAATGCCTTAGAGAGGCAGATGGTTCCGATTACTAAAGCACATCATCAGATGTAACTGACTGCCTTCTTGATTCATATACTCAGCTAATTTCACAGGGAGGAAAGCATTCATTTTCTCTGTTCCTCTCTACCCATTTCTAAAACAAAATTTCTTTGCGGGCAGTGCTGAGGATTGAATTCACTGCCTTAATGCATGCTAGACAAGAATTCTGTCACTTAGCTATACCCTAGTCCCCAAATTTTAACTTATAAATGCAGCAGGCCTTCACCAAGAGTCTTGATTTGCTTTAATCAGAGTTGGCTCATTATATAGATGCTACTGAATTTCCAGAGTCCAGCTGCTGGGCACGTGATCCTGTTGAAAACTGAGTCCAATGAGACTCAAAGTACAGAATGCTTCACTAAACACTAAGTACAAATAATCCTTTTGATCCATATTTTATCTTATTGCATTCGCAGTATTATACAAGGATTTGCTTTTGCTTTGCTAGAAGTTTGCCCCACTTTACTGATGACTGGGTCCCACACAAACAGTTACAACCCAAACAATAGGTCTAAGCGTGGGTGACTTCATAGGCTTACTTCACACTGAAAAATTAGCTTCACCTGTCCTGAAGAGAAGCATTGCTCATCTGCCTGGAAATGGCATGCATGATACTTCCAAGCCTCCATCCAGAATAAGTATTCGTGGGAGTCAAGTCAGAATGATGTTCTGGGTTGCTTTTTCCTTTGCAGTCCACTTCCTGAGTGCTCTATTTCAGCTCACAAGTGTAGCTGGATACAACTTGACAGTATTTCACAATGCAGCATGTTCTTTCTGATGTGGTTTCCTTCAGGTCAAGGTAAGAACTGAATATGGCTAACACTTTCTAATTAAAGCTTTCCAGGAGAGGACGGTGTGGAAGGGAAGAGCTACCACTTATTTGTAACCTACGCTCATTATTATGTCAGAAGCCTCTTAGAAAAAAGACAACAGTACCTCCAATTGTATGTGATTGAAAAATCTGTATTTTTGCTTAAAATACTTGCTGTATATATTTTAAGATCTGCTTTCTGTTTTTACTATTCTAAAATGATGCTAAAATTTCCTCGGTAGGAGAGACTAAAGAAGATAAAGTGAAATCTAAACTTTGCTTGGTGTCTTCTGATTTAGAATGTACATTGATACTTATCTTCACTTTCACTGTAGGATGAGTAATTTAAAACTTACCACATCCAAAACATTATCTCTAAATCTAGTAGTAGACTGTAGTTCATCTCCACTAGGGGATGTTGCTAATTATAATCTTATAGCATTTTATAGACTGTGAGGTCCTAGATTTCTATAGTTTCCTGTTTTTCCAGTATAGCATACAGAAATTCTTCTTTGGAAAATACTCAACAGATGCTTCATGCCATTAAAAAATACTTATTTTCCAGGGAACTGGAGAACCTGCTGAAGTCATCCTGTGTAACAGTTTTGGTCTGAAAGTGAAATTCTAAAAGTTATACTGTTGGTCAACTGGACTTGCATGGTCTGAATCAGAGGATTAATATTCTTCTCTAAAGAAAAAAACAAAATAACAAAAATGAATGTCCCTTTTGTTATAATTATTTCTTGGATTTATTATAAAAGTAATTATTAAAATTCCATTTTATTGAGCATTAGGAAATTCTATTAGCAACAGTGTCAATTCTAAATTCCAAAATAGGTATGTAAAGCAGTGTTTCCCTGTCCGGTCCTTTTCTGTATGTATCTGGGGAAGGACTGAGCAAGCAGTCCACCTAGAGATTCTTAGGTGGAAGCTGTAAGTGTGCAAACTGAATATCACTATTTCTTTATGAAAAATCAAGTCTTATATGTATCCCAATAGATAATTGTATTGAGAATAAAAACATGTCTTTAAATACTTTTGCTTCTCAATTTATTATGAGTCTGTTCAGTTGGACATCTAGTAAGTATTCGCTGCTGTGTATAGAGTCTTTGTTGAGTGTTTGTAGAATCTTCCATTCTTCCAGACAGAGAAAATAAGACTTATGGAATGGTACCATTAATAATAACCCCACCCCATGGCTTCCCACTTTACTTGAATAAGATCCCTGCTCCTTTCCTTGGCCTGTGAGGCCTTACGTTATTTGGCCCTTGCTGACCTGTAAGTCTTATTTCCCACCTTCCCCTAGTCTACTCCCATCATTGATGTCCTCATTGTCCCTTGTTCCCGCCTTTGTCTTCATGCAGCGTTGTGATCTTCCACATCTTCATCTGGCTTACACTTAATTCAGGACTCTGCTCCAATTTGCCCCCTTGGGGAATGCCCTAACTACCCTAAAATACCCTACCTCTATCATCCCACACTCTATTATCTGTCCTGCTGTGTTTTTCTTCATAGCATTTAACTCTACCTGTAATGATATATCATTGATTCAGCTGTTTATTTTCCACCTACTCTATTAGAATATAAGCTTCATGAGAGACCAATGCAAATTTTTGTTCTCTTTTGTATCCTTGCCTCTGAGAATTATGCTTGGCACATAATGAGTAATTGATAGCAATCTTGGGGGAAAGAGAATGAATAATTGCAACCTTTGGTTCATAAGGTCAAATAGCTTAATGTTAAACAATTTGACTTTAATAAAAGTGGTAGTCAAAATTCTACTTAGGCTGGGTGTGCTGGCACAGCCCTGTAACCCCAGCATTCTGGGAGGCTGACACAAGAGAATCCCAAGTTTGAGCCCAACTTGGGCAACTCAGCAACACCCTGTCTCAAAATACAAAATGGGCTGAGGGTGTAACTCAGCATGGAGGCCCTATGTTCTATGCCCAGTTTTGCATTAAAAAAAATCTACCTGGGCATGTAGCATGTGGGGTCATTTGGAGAAGACCTGGAGAGTAGAAGCACTTGGAAAATTACATTTGGGCATGTTTACAATTAGTGATTTACTAATCAAAGCCGAAGTTCCTTCTTTGCTCGTTCCCAGGAATGAGTCCACTGGTTATAGTTTTAAAAAATCACGTCTCATACTGATTTTAATGGATCACCTTTGTAAATACTGACTACTTGTGATCTACTCAGCTTGAATGATTTGATGGTATCTGATCTAAAGAATTTATTAGAGAAGCAATAATCTCATTGATGGAACTGAACTGTGGAAAGATCACATTCAAACAGCATTTCATACATCCATTTTGATCCTTCACCTTGGATTTTTCTTTTCCCATTAAAGCTTAATTTTGTGCCTGTAAAGGTTGGTTTGTGGCATCATTTCTTTTTTGACCTTCCTCAAGGAAAGCAAGGCTATTAATTTATGCTGGCTCAGTTGTTATATCCTCTTAGTAGATGGCACGACAGCAATTTGGAGGTAACCAGTAGCTAAATTTCAGGAAAGTCAGCAGAACTGGCAGGAAAAAACGGTTACCAAGTGTTAAGTGTAAAGATGATTTGAAGATAAGACATACCAGATGCATTGTTTACCTCTATTCTAACTTTGGAAAGCTGTGATGTAAAATGAATAAAAGTCAGAGACTAGAAAGACCATTACAGAAACTACAGATTAATTACACAGTCTTAATCAGAACATCTACTGGAGATATGTTAATTCTTTTTTACATCATAGAAATACATAATTAATGAACTATACTGAAATGGCCTAATAGCATGGTTATTTTTATTTCTAGAGGAATGGCTAGTATTTTTGTAGACACAAACCCAAGGTTGTATACCAGTATGCAAATAGGTTCCCCAATCACAACAGAATTTTCATTGATTTACAGGATTTAAGATCCTCTTCCACACCATCCTGTACAGTTGTTGTCTGATAAGGTGTGAGATCATTTGGGATGGTATGTATACCCAGCATACCTTAACACTTTTTCTCCCAAAGCGATTGTTTTTAGAAAATGTATCTCTGGTTCATCACTCTAATCTTCTATTATATTCAACAGCATAATTCTTAATTGCTTCAAAATTCCTAAATGATTTCTCTGGCTAACACTTTTCTAGCTGGTCTACACAGATTATAGATGTGACTTCTTTGTATGGTCATAATTGTATTCTATTCTGAATCCTATCACAGATCTGCCTTGCTGCTGGTGAGTTGGTTTTAAGCTCAGTTGTTATGGTCAACAGGACATACTGACCTTTATGATCTGGTTGTAAACTGCCATGTTGGTTCTATGTGAAAGGGGAAGGTGAGCTGGGAAACAAAGACTCATTTCCCGTTTACATGATGGGCCGGCCAGTTTGACCTGACCTGTGCCCATGCTTGGAGTTCAGTACATTTGGAAAAGGGTAACAAGTGGGTAGCTAACAATTGGCCTATTTGCATGCAATGCTAAGGAGGTTCTTAGGAAAAACTCAACCCAAACAGACATAAGCTTTTCTTTAGAAAAATCTTAGTTCTTAGAGGCATGAAATGTTTAAATAAATTTTTTAGAGAGAATAAAACCAAGCAATGTAAGTGACACAGGATTTCAAAACAAGGTAATAGAAAATCAACAATAGTTATCATAATGCCTCTTGTCCTCAAAACAGCTGCCCATACCTTCAGGCATAGTAAACAAAACAGAAACAGAATAGAACCAATAAAATCAAAACAATGAATGTAATACAGAACTGAAAACAAGATAATAGTAAATCCAAAATGGTTTACCCATAATATAGCTTATTATCTTCAAAAAGTATGAGATATTTTGAATGTGATACCTTCATGCAGATTCACCCTGGTCCAGACCGATTAATCCATTATGAATGTTTCCTACAGAGATGGACCTGTAATTAAATGTTAACAACTATTTTTTCTGAGAACTTGGGCACTGAGGCCCACACATCACTGCTTTAAGTGCTTCAGGAGAAAGTAACATGTGGATGCAAGAAAGTCATTCTCTATTTAGCCAGTGATGTTCTCCATTTAACTACCTGTGATGATTATTTTGTGCTATCTTGACTGGGTTGTCAGAATAAATGTTATTTCTGGTCAGTCTATGAGAATATTTAAGGAAGAGACTTGCATTTCTG